AGCCCGCCGCTCCGCTCCGCTCGCGGCCCCAGGCCAGAGCCACGCCCGGCTCCCCACGGGACAGACAGACGGGTGGGGACAGACGGGCTTCTGCCTCCCGGGGTGTGGTCCTGTCCCCCGCCGCCGCGCTCCTCGGGCCTCCTGTTCCCCTCTGTAAAGGGGCAGCAGAGGGAGCCCAGCGCAGGGAGAGGGACCCCATCGCCGCTGGCAGAGCGCTGGACACCCTCTCCATAGCAGCCGGGCTGTCCAGGGGGAGCAGCACCCGGCCGCGTGGGTGTCCCGGGGCACACTGAGTCCTGGCACAGCCGCTTAGTGACCTGTGGCCTCCACCTTCCCACCTGTAAATGGGCGCAGCATGGGGGCCAATGCGGATGCGACGGGGTGCGGGCAGCCCCCCGCATGCTGGCACTGGGGGAGTGATGGAGGCCAGCATAGAGCCTAGTGGTGATCCCTGGTTTGCTCCCGCTGACGGGGCAGAGGCGTCCAGTCCCGGGCTCTGACCCCTGGCCTCTGTGACTGCACCCCGGCCTCTCCAGCCAGCCACCCTCTGCCAACTGGGCCTGGCAGTGCCCCTCAGCTACCAAGCGCCCAGCATGGTCCTCCCTGGGCCACGGTGAGCTGCAGCTACATCTCCCCAGGAACAGCGACCTGGCGTGGCCTGTGAGCTGCCACGGGCTTCCTCGGGCTGTGCCGGAGTCAAGACAGGGGTAACCCAGGCTGGAGTGAGCCAGCTTTCCCCCCTTTTGTTTTATTTAAAGATTTTTTTATCTATGCAAACAGAGCCGGGGTCCTGGCCAGAGGTGTGGGGGCGAGGGGCTTCACCAGAGACAGAGTGGGGCGCAGAACAGGCAGACGGATGAAGCACACTGCTGAGGGGGCGGCGGGGGACAGGGGGGTCTGCAGTGCGCTCGAGTCCCTCCCTGGCCCAGGTCAAACTCGTGCTGCAGCGGCTGCGGCCAGCGTCATAGTGCTGCTCCCCTGCGCCACCAGGGAGCCCCCCACCCCGATTTTAAAAGAAAGTAAAGCATTTTCATTGGTCCCTGAGAGGTCTGTGGCCCTGGGCACCTCAAAGCCCCGCCCCTCCGCGGTCTGCGGCCGCCAACCCCGACCCCTTCCTGCCAGGAGGAGCCCGCGGCCACGCGGGGGCTGGCAGCATCCCCCGAGACCACGAAGGAGCCACACAGCTTCCCTCCGGCCTCACCCCTCGAGCCTGAAGTTACGCTGGGAGCAGAGATTTCGTCCCCAAATACCTACTCCCGGCCTTGGCCCATGAGACGGCCTGAGAACACGCACAGCCCTGCCCCAAGGAGTCACAGGCTCGCGGGGGAGCGCCACAGTCAGAGGGCGCCCATTAGGCCTGGGAGCAGCTGCGGCTGCCCTGCCCGTGGGCCGGGGCTCCCTCCTGTGCGCGGCAGGCACCCACCTGAGCCGGGCAACACGCCTTCCTCCCACTGAGCGGAGCCACGGCCCTCTCCCGTCCCTTCCATGCTTGTTCCGCTCAGGACTCTGACTCCTGGCACGCGAGACCCTGCCAAGCGGGGGTCAAGCAGTCTGTACCCCCTTAGCCACCTCTGTGCCCCTGCACACACTTCCCCTGCCTAGAGCACCCCCTCCTGGGGCATCATCCCATGTTCAAGGGTGCTTCTCAGTATCACCCAGAAAGCTCCATCGGAACCCCAACTCTGAATCACCCCCATACTCAGTGGGCAGCTCAACTCCACCTGGCAGAGCTCGGTAGCGCCCATGGGGTATATAGCAGGTGCCAGCCTCCAGGGGGCGCACACGAGCCCTAGCGGATGTGAGAGGAGCCCGCCCCACCATTGCAGGCCAGACCGCAGCCTCCCTCCACCCCAGGCCTGGAGCCTGCGCAGAGCCGGCAGGGCCACGCCGATGTCCCGCCACTTGGCTGGCCCGTCGGGCCCCGTGTCTGAGGCCAAGCCGGCGGCCGGGGGTCGGGCCCACCGTGCCACCTGGGTCCCCTTTGCAAGCGAGACTCCCATGCCGTATTGCCCTGGGTTTTAGCTGTGGGTTTATTACATGAGTGATTCATAGTTCTTGTAACTGGAAATGCAGATGTGAAAGAACAGACCTTGTCACCCAGGGCCCCCTGCCCACGGTCAGCCTGGCCAAGCGGCCAGGCTGCCGCCTTTCCTCAGCAGGAGAAGCCGCCTTCGCCTTCAGCCTATAAATAGCTCTCAATTTGTCTTCTTCCCCCTAAAATAAACCGCAAGCCTCTTTCTACAGCAACAAATACCATCTGCTTGTTTTTGTGAATTGTAAAATGCTCCAGACGTGAGTGTATATAAACACTGTACACACTTACATGATAATTAAAGGAATGCCCTGGGTCTGGGTCAATGTCTGGAAATGTCCCCTGTCCTGGGCACTCGCAGCACCTGCCTGTGTTTCTTCCCGCTGGCCAGCAGTCACCTCTATCCTGACCTTGGGCTCCAGCAAGCCCTTGCTTTCCTCTCGAGTCTCACTAGCAGCATTCAGGTATGTTTCCCACCAACTGAACTGAGCCAAACAGCAGGAGGTGGCCGCTGTGTGGCTAGACACGGACACTTAGGAAGGCCACCCTGAGCAGCGCCTCTGGGGCAGACAGCTCTGACCTCTCTGAGCACTGCTGAGGGGCAGCCAGGGTCTCGGTCAGGGAGAAGCTCCCTGAGCACCCACCGGGCGGTGGTGTAGGCACCGCACTGGGCTGTTCTGTCTTGCTTCTGAGCTCGCTGCATCAACCTTCAGACCTAAGGGAGGCGGCGACTCAGACGGGTCCGGTCCCCCTGAGGCCTTCCACCCCTACCTGGAGGCTACGGTTCTCGCTGCAAGTTGTGGGAGGTCGGTGGCAGAACATGGGAGTACATATGCCCAGTAACCCCCAGTTCTGGCAGGGACCCACATTTCCTGCTGTCCCAGCAGGCCCAGTCCTCTCCAGACCTGAGTCCCAGATGTTGCCAGATGGAAGAGGCGCCATGAAGCCCCAAACACCCTCTTTATTTAGCCCTCTCTCACCCTAGTTCACGCAGCGAGGACTGCGGATCCTGGGAGCTGATGAAGGGCAGCTTGGCCACTGGGAGGGACTTGGCAATCCGAGCCCTGCCAGGGCAGGTAATACTGGTTTACCCGCTCCCCAGCTCCCAGGGTTCTGTGCCGGAGGCTCCTTTCCTGTTCTCCCTGTCCTGTGGATTTATGTCCTTCAAAGGTCCTGTCCTGTGGGTTTATGGGTCTCTCGAGGCAGGGCATGCTCTGCTCAGGCCTTAACCTGAATCTCCCTGTCTTTTATGACCATGGCAAGGTAGAGATTTGCCCAGTCACATGCCCAGCCCCCTGGAGTGGAAATTGCAGCTGTTGTCAAAGGAAGGCTGCCGTGGCCACGTTTGGCCTTCCTTGGGTCTTGCTTTTGCTACTTTTCCAGGACATCCCCCTTCGGAGATCTGTTGATCCGCTCCAACCTAGTGAGGCCCAGTGTTCTCGCTGTGAGGGGTAACGCGTGTTGGCTCGACGCGGCAGCAGGAGCTGCGACCCGGAGGGTGTGTTCTGGGGCCAGGTCAGAGCTAGACTGGCCGGCCTCTCCCGGCCCCTGGAAGCCAGACCACCCCACTCCCCACCCGCTCTAGCCACCTGTCGTTCGACTGCTGAGTCTTTGCCACTCCTCTGTAGAGGAGTAATTAAACAGAAGCGAAGCTAAGCCAGAGTCTGAGAAATATCTGCTCATTGAAACGAATGTTTATTGGATGCTTATGCTGTGCCGGGGTTAATCTTGCCCGCGAGAGCTTTGGAGGCTGGAAGATCAGAAGGAGTGTGGAGGCACTTTCCGCGGCTGGGCAGAAAGAACGACTGCTGCATGACGTTGTGTCGTTTACTCAGCGATGTTTCTGAGGGCTCGCGGTGGCCAGGAGTCGGGCATTCCTCTGCCCTGGCGGGTTGAGTCAGCGCACCGGCTACGGTCCGGCCCGGGTCCCAGTGCGCAGCCGCGAGGGCCGGGAGGCCGTCGGAACCTTTCTTCTCACGCCCAGCCGGCTCACCCGGCAGGAAATGCGTCAGGGACCGCGCCGCGCTGCGCCGCCGCAGTCGGACCTCGGTCGCCACGGTAACGCGCGCCCGGCGCGTGTCTCCACCATGAGCGTCCGGGTGGCGCAGGCTGCGAGGACCCAGAGGGCCTGGGGCTGGGGCTGGGGCTGGGGCGCCGGCTGCCGCGGGGCCTCGAACTCCCCGCTGCCGCCGCCGGGCGTCGTGGATGTGGCGGAGCTGCTGCGAGATGCCTCCACGGAGGAGGAACGGCCCCGGGGGGCGACGGCGCGGCGACTGCCCGGCCAGTGCTCCGTGCTGCTCTTCCCGGGCCAGGGCAGCCAGGTGGTGGGCATGGGCCGCGGCCTGCTCCGCTACCCGCGCGTCCGCGAGCTCTACGCCGCCGCCCACCGCGTGCTGGGCTACGACCTGCTGGAGCTGAGCCTGCACGGGCCGCAGGAGGTCCTGGACCGCACCGCCTACTGCCAGCCGGCCGTCTTCGTGGCCTCGCTGGGCGCCGTGGAGAAGCTCCATCACCTGCAGCCCGAGGTGAAGCCCCGGGGCGGCGGCCCCACCCGGCTCCCCCTGCCAGGCCAGGCCCGCAAGTCATTCGGGAGGTCCTGGGGCCCGCTCCCCGCCAGGCACGGGGGGCCGGCACAGCCCTGCACCACGCGGAGGCCCCTGGCCAGGGGGAGCCCGCCTGAGGCCGGAGACAGCCATGGGCCGCAGCAGGCAGGTGGTGCGTGAAGGGGATACGCGGGCTAGAAAAAGCCGAGCAGAAGGGCCTGGGGAGTCCAGGCGGCTTTAAGTGATCCTTAGTAGTTGGGCAATTACTGGGAGACTTTCAGAGGCTTAAACTCCGTCTGTAAATGAGGCTCCTTGAGCTGCGGGGCGCGCCAGGCCGCCTGCAGCTGGGACTCGACTGCCTGTCAGATCTACTAATGGCAGAGCAGTAAACAGTAAGCTAGTAACTTTTTTTTTTAAGATATATTTACTTATTTATTTATTTATGCGTGCAGAACTGGGGTGCAGGCCCAAGATGCAGGGATGACAGGACTCATCAGAGACAGTGGGAAGCAGAACAGACGAAGTCCACTGCTGAGGAAGCAGCGGGCGGGCCAGGAGCGGTCTGCCGCGCCGTGCTGTCACTCCCTGGCCGGGGATCGGACTGGTGCTGAAGCCGCTGTGGCCGATTCAGTGCTGCACTCTGGCCCCTTGTGCCACCGTGGCCCTCAACCAGTACTTTAAGCCTTGAACCCCCTTTCATGCTCTGGACAAGCCTGTGAGGTAGATGCTGCTATTTCGTGGCAGAGGAGAGGATTTGCTGAATAATCTTCACGTGACCCTCTTGGCCGATGCAGCCAATCTGTTCTTCCCACGTCGCAGAGAGGTCAGGGGTCTCACCCAGGTGAGGGCCGCATCCAGCTCTCTGGCCCCGAAAGCCAGGCCCTGGCTTCTGCTCAGCACCCCCTGCCCAGGCCGAGGGCTTCCACGCCGGTTCCTGGCCAGTAACGGGCCACGCTGATTGCCAGGGCGCCGTCCTCCTCAGCCAGACACCTGCCCGCGGGCGCCTGCCAGTCGCCAACACCCTGCCAGCCCCCGGCGCAGCCACCAGCCTCACCATCTGCATCTGTCACCGCAGGTCATTGAGAGCTGCGTGGCCGCCGCTGGATTCAGCGTGGGGGAGTTCGCTGCCCTGGTGTTTGCCGGAGCCATGGACTTTGCCGCAGGTACACGGCGGGGCGGGATGGCGCAGGCTGCAGCACCGCCCCCGGGCCGGGAACCGCGCTGCGGCATTGGCGCCGCCCAGGTGACAGAGAAGGGAGCGGCCGGGCCCAGGCTTCACTGTGGTTCCCTTTGGGGTCCCCGTCCTTTCTGTAATCTCATGAAATCTGCCCCTCGACTGTCCCATACCTGGGTGTCTGGGCCCCTCGCCGGCCCAGGGCCTGTTGCGGGGTGGGTGCCCGGAAACACTCAGAAAAGAGCCAAGGAGTGTTCGGTCTTGAGCTGCGTCCACTTCACTTCTTAAAGATGTTGCGTATGGTCAAAGCAGTTCAGCACCTTCGCTGGCAGTTAAACACAGGCAGCGCACCCAGGCCTCCCTCCGAAGGCATGCAGGTGGCCAGCAGGACACGGGCGGCCAGCAGGACACGCGGCCTCTGCAGTGTTCCCCTGGGAAATGCACATCAAACCACGATGCGGCGCCATCTCACACCCACTAGATGACTAAAAAGTGGAACCCACTAGGCACCGGCCCATGGCCGCAGGAGGGAGGCACCCTCACCCCGGGCCACAGCCCTGCGGACAGGTGTCCGCCTGAGAAGCACCAGTGCCCACAGCAGCATTCTTCCCAAAAGCTCCTGAGCGCGGTCTTCACAGCAGCAAGAGACGGCACGCAGGGCGTCACCAGGGCGCGGGCAACCAGGCCTTGAGTCCAGACGGGGCGTGCGTCAGCCGGGGCCTCCCTGGTGCCAAGGGGCCAAGTCTCGGCGGAGGCTGTCCGGCCAGGGAGTGACCCGAGGGCGCGGCAGACCTCCGCTGGCCCGCCCGCTGCCCCTCAGCAGTGTGTTTCAGCGGATCCGCCTGGTCTGCCCCCCGCCTCTGGGGGGTCCTCGCACCCGCACCTCCGCCCACGCCCCGTTCTTGAGTGCATAAATAATCCTTTTTTAAAAAGCGAACCAAGTGTCAACACCTGCTCGGCGTAGCTGGGCCTGGGCGAGGGCCAGGCCCACGAGGCCACGCCGACCTCCCTGCCGTGGCCTGTGCAGAAGCAGCAGGTCCCTGGGCCACCGAGCAGGGCCGTCAGGGGAAGGAGCAAAGGGAAGGCGCCCGCGGGGGCCGGTGGTTTTGTGGGCGAGGGAGGGGGCGCCTGCGGCCTGAGGCCCTGTGCTCGGTCACCCACCGCCGTGCGTGGGGCCCCGGCCCCTGCGCTTCCGCTGTGTGAGAGCCGAAAGTACGGCAGGGGCAGTCGGCCGAGCGCCGGCCAGCACCTCCCCTCGGCACCCCTGGCAGCGTCGCGGCCTTGGGAGGAGCCTGGACGGGGCCTCCCCGGGAGTCCACGTGGTGCGGGCCAGGGGAAGCCTGGGGCGGGGGTGGGGCCTTGTTCCTGCTCGTCGGAGCCGGTCCTCAGCGAGCCCTCGCGGCCGGCTGTGTCCCTGTGTCCGCCGTCTCGGCAGTCTGCCTGCTGTCACAGCAGCGGCAGGCCGGGCGCCGGCAATCCTCACACTGCGCTTCTGTCCTGCGAGAGGCCCCTGCCTGCCTATGCCCAGCTGGCCAGCAAGGACTCGGCACCGGGACGAGGTCCCCACCAGGCACTCCCTGTTGACCCTTCCGGCCCTGAGAGGGTCCCCTAACTCCCGTGGTCCCTGCGCCCCCGGAGCAGAGCCAGCACCAGGAGGAGCTGTCCGTGTCCAGCCCCTCAGCCCCGGCCCTGGGGGCTGCTGGCCTCGCCAACCCCGTGCTCTCAGCTTGAGCCGCTGCTTCAGCTGCAGCCTTGGTGCGGGGTCCCCGGCGCTGGGGGCGCGGCCGGTCACGCGCCCTCGGCCGGCATCCGGGTCGTGCGGGGCCCAGTGGCTCTTCCTTGGTCCTCGTCCACGGTTTCCCCTCAGAACAATTCCCAGTGTCCAGCAGCCCTCCAGGCAGCCTGGACACCGCTGCTACCCACGGCTCAGAGCGGGCGGAGGCCGCGCTCGCCGGTCACGAGAGCCGCGCCCAGCGCCACCTTCCCGTCGGCACCTGGCTGTCCGGCTGTCCGTTTGTGGACCAACCGTGGCACAGTGAGGAGCGGCCCTGGCTGCTCCGGCGCCCCGTGATGCCCACGTGTGTTCAGCCACACCAGCACCCGCCTCAGGCCGGCCCGACTCCACGCACTTCTCTCCCGCCAGGTCTGCACGCGGTGAAGGTGCGCGCCGAGGCCATGCAGGCGGCCTCAGAAGCTGTCCCCAGCGGGATGCTGTCCGTCCTCGGCCAGCCACAGTCCCAGTTCACCGCCGCCTGCCAGGACGCCCGCGAGCACTGCAGGTCTCTGGGCATCCAGGACCCCGTGTGCGAGGTGGCCAACTACCTCTTTCCCGACGGCAGGGTGCTCTCGGGACACCTGGAGGTTGGTGTGGACGGGGCGGCCTGCGCAGCCTGGCCGAGCCCTCCTAGGGCCCACTCGCGGCACGGGGCCCTGCCTGATGGGGAGAGCGGGTCAGGCGGCACTGCAGAGGGCGATAGCTGAGCCCACGGGCAAGGGGTGGGACGGAGAGGGGCTCCCCAGAACCCCCAGGCCCGCCTGATCTAGACAGGCCCTGCCACCCGCCGCATCAAGACATTGGACCTGTAATGGGAAGCAGCTTTAATACAACTAGTGTGCAGTGCAGAAGAGACAGTCTCCAGCCTAGCACCAGAGGGACCCGTCCCCTCGTGGGTAACGTCCACCCAGGCAGGACTGGTCCGGAGCCGGCCGAGAGCTCCCGCCCACGGGCCGCCCCAGGCCCCCTCCCCC